AAAGTGCAAAAAAAAATTCTGAATGCCTAAATATTAAACTTATGACTAATTCCACCATTTAAAAATATATTAGAATTTTCCTGAGTAATGAAATCAAAGCCATAATCTTTTCTTTTTACCTACTTATTAATTCACCAAGATTCCCAAGCAAACTGGCATGTCCGGGAAAGAGGTGCACACTCTATTTAATATCCTGAAGTTTGTGGTTTTGTCTACTACTTTCTCATTCCCTCTCTGGAGAGTGGCACCTGTCAAAGCTGAGAAAGAGCAAATTACTCTATTTCTGTGCTTGGCAGGAATGTAATATGGAGTAACAAGAGCTATGCCCGAGAAGCCCTAGAGACAGAAGTTGAGTCTATAGTACCTACCTTCTTAAAGATCATGACGAAAAATGAATGAACTAAGGCATTCTCAAGCTAGGAAAGAAAAAAGAGGAGGGATTTTTTTTTTTTTTTTTTTTTGTCTGTGATATTTGCATACTTGGAGCAAATAGTGGTTCTTCTCTCTAAAAAGGCACAGTGCAAGCCAAAAACATCACATTTGTACAGGTTTACTAAATAATATTTATTTTAAAAATTATATTAGTACATAATAGGGAAACATTCAAGGAGAGTAATTTTTTATTTTTTTACTCTAAGATCATTAAGTAACATTTTTAATCTCCCAGGGGAAAAACCAACATCTATATTTTTAAGAAAATACGTTAAGAATCAACGGTACTTTGTTGCATTGTCTCTCAGGCATCTCATTAATTTTTAGATATCACCATGGGCAGGTTATTGCTATTCTGTTTTGCTGACATTTAGCATTTTAAGTGCTAACAATGGGAAGAGTTTATAGAATATGTCTAAAACCCTATTGTCATATTCTTATGTGCCTTGCAACATGGCAAATATAGACGTACTTTTAAAAAATATTTCTACATATCTTAAAAGCTATTAGATAGCGTGACTTCGTTTCCAGTTTTTAAAAAGTGTTACGATGAGGCTCATAATTACTATTTTTTAGACTGCTGGGCAAATGATGAAATCAGTCATGTTTTCTTTCAAATCTGCTTTCTTGAAACACTTAGGGATCAGTCCTCTTTTTATCATCCTACTGGCAGGAGAGTGAGTCCAGAGCAAATTCCTCATAAAGACTGTTAATTCCTGGAAAGTGTGGTTGGTTCTTTTTACCCTAGTGTTGTTACAGATCTCACTTTATTTGACTGTTTTTAAGGACTCATAGCATAAAGGTGTTATATTAATAATGAAAATGTTTCCAGAGCTCTATTCAGCTTTATTTAAAAAACAAAACAAAACAAAACAAACTCTGACCTTTGATCTTTAATAAATACCTTTTTGTTTAAAAATTATCTCTCGGTGACAAAAATTTTAAAAAATAAGCTCAGGGAGAAAATGGCATCTGTAAGTTAAAAAGTTGTTCCTTTTACAGTACGTAAAATAATTTTCCCCCAGATAATCTTTTAAGAAGTAACAAATCATGGTATGTATCTGTTACATTTTAATAGAATAAATATAAAATAAAGCAGTAGTGATTATTTGTATTATTAAGAAACTTTATAAGATAATACTTTACTAACTATATTTCTTTTTTATAATGGATTATAAGTTATTTGCTTTTAAAGAATGAAGAACTAAGAGGCTTAAAGTGTTCAGGTTTTGTTTCAGTTTTTTTAAAAAAGGAATTTAAAATATTAAAGAAAATTTAGTATGATGAAGGTTTTCTAAAATTAAGTGTACACTAACATTTTGAATACACTTAAAAGACGAGAGGTGCATGTGTACTTTTTAAAAGCTTTTAAAGTAATTTTCCTTCTAATATGTCATGTTTCTGGTACATATTTCCATGATGAATGCTTTTAAAGAGTGCCATCTAGTGTCAGTTTTGGAATAATTGTAATTTATGGATTAGAACATTGGGAATTTTTGACCCAGGAAATGTATAAACATAAAAAGACAGGACAATTGATAAAAAACTTAAGGAATATGACTTGAAAATAGCCATGAAGAATCTGATCTCAAGACTGTGTGTGTTTGCACCTTTAACCAGTGTGTATATTTATCTCTGCTTTCATTTGTCAAATACTGCTTGCTTATATATATATAATAAGCATATAAAGCAGTGAACAAAAAATTTTTACTCATGGAACATTCTAGTTGTGGGAGACAAATAATAAAATATGGTATATCGTCATTTTTTCAGGGAGCGTGGGGACTGGGGTTTGTGATTTAAATTGAGTAGTCAGGGAGGATCTCAGTAAGAAGTTGCCATTGAATAAATAAATACCTGAAGGAAGTGAGGAAGTGTTCTAGGTACTGGAAACACCAAGTGCAAAGGCCCTGATGTGGGAATGTACCTAGTGTTTTAGCAGGGGTCCCCCAACCCAGGGCCCAGGACTAGTACCCGTCTGGGGCCTGTTAGGAACCCCACCTCAAAGTGGGAGGTGAGCGGCAGTAAGCCAGCGTTACTGCCTAAATGTCGTCTCCTGTCAGATCAGCAATGACATTAGATTCTTATAGGTGCTCCAACCCTATTAACTGCACGCAGGAGGAATCTAGGTTGCGCGTTCCTTATGAGACTCTAATGCCTGATGATCTGAGGTTTCATCCGGAAACCATCCCCATCCCCCTACCAACCCCTGATGGAAAAATTGTCTTTCATGAAACTGGTCTGTGGTGCCAATAATGTTGGAGATGGCTGTTTTAGAGGAATAACAATCTACTTTGGCTGGAACAGTGAGCAATGAAGAGAGTTAATGAGACAAACTCAGAGACATAAAAGAGGATTAGATCAAGGAGATTTTTGTAGGCTGTTGTAGAAACTTTGGCTTTTCCCTAAGGACAATGGGAAGACCTTGGAGGGTTTCGTTATGGGGGTGTAAAGGAAAAGAATGGTGTAAACTGAGATGGGGAAGACACATAAGGAGCAGGTTTGAGGGTGGGAGAGAATAAGGAACTAGATTTTGGACATGTTAACTTTAAGATATCTCAGCTCTCACTATCCATGTTATGGGGAAATTTAAATATTTTTATATTATGATTTAGCACTCAGCAGCTATCACTTGAGTAGAATCTACTTCTCCTAAAAGAACGAATGTCCCCTCCCTATTATTTTGTAGAGTCATAAAAAAGAAGCAGTATGGAAGGACCAGCACTGGCAAAACTTCTCAAGGATATTATCCCCAGACAGCTCTCAGTATTCTTGGTTAATTTATTTCCCCTTCTGTTTATCTCCTGTTCTCACCTATAGTGAGACCCCAAAGTACTTGATTGGGAGGGCTCTATTGGGAAGCACTGGGGTTTGCTCATTTTAAAGGAGCTGTTGTAAAATTTCCTCTAATGCTAGTCAGTTGCAAAGGGTGGAATTTTTTCTTTTGGAAGTCATTTAGTCAGTCTTCAGAAACAAACCTTATAGCATTATTATCTACTGCAAATTTTTACTGATTTCTAGAACAGGCTTTTGAAACATTCATCTTTTAGCTTCTAAATGATTATATTCTAAGACCATAATCATTACAATTTATACTTTAGGTGACTCAATGAAAGAAGAAAATGAAAGCCATAAAGAAAAGTCTTACAGAAGAAGAATACCTGTATCTGGACTTTTCTCACCAAACAAAAGGATGCATCTTTCCTCTTCATACATCTGTAACTTTATTTCTGTTATCTTACTGTGACTGTAAAATCTTTAAAATTTGCTTAGTTGTCACCAAAGAAGTGAGTACAGATAGTTCACTACTAAGAGATGATCTGATCCAGGATGTTGAAATACAGATTATTTCAAGGCAAGAGCTCCCACCAATAGTCCAGAATTGCTGTTTGCCTGCAGTAGTAGAACGATCAGACAATTTTTGTAGAGCAGGACTTGCCGTTGTATTGAGACACATAATCCAGAAATCCTATGAAGCAGACCCCTTAAAGAAGGAACTTTTGGAACTTCTGGGCTTTAAAAAGACTTGCTTGAAAGCCTGTGCTGAAGTAAGTATAATGTCTCTTTTCTGTTATTTGAAGCTATAGAGTGGAGTGACAACGTAATTACTTGACCATTTAATATTTTAACTTCCTATTAGGAATAAAAGTTTATTTTAAAAAACCACAGTAACCAATGAAATAAGGTAGCCCTTTGATATAGTTTGAATATTTATCCCTTTTAAATTTCATGTTGAAATGTGATTCCCAATATTGTTGGGGGTGGGACCTGGTAGGAGGTGTTTGCGTCATGGGGGCAGATGCCTTATAAATGACTTGGTGCTCTCACTGGGGTAATGAGTGAGTTCTTGCTCTGTTAGTTCACTGGAGATCTAGCTGTTGAAAAGCGTCTGGTACCTCCTCCTTGCTCTCTCTTGCACCCTCTCTCCCCATGCGACACACATGCTCTCTCTTTGCCTTCTACCATGACTAAAAGCTCTTGACGTCCTGACCAGAAGCAGATGCTTCTTGTATAGTCTGCAGAACCATGAGCCAAATAAACCTCTTCACTTTATAAATTACTCAGCCTCACCTATTCCTTTACAGCAATGCAAAATGGGCTAATACACCCTTTACGTGTGCCAATATTTCAGTGCAGTATTGAAAAATAAGAATTAAGACTTAATTTATAAAGTTTGGAGACATTTTTAGAAAATAACTTTTTTTTCTTTATTTTAGTTATGTTGATTTTTAAACAGAATGTTTACATATAAATAGGAACTCAAATAGTAATGCTTTGGAAGTCCTGCTTATTGTAGGATCTAGGAGAATGGCGGGACAGAAGAGGTATATTTTTAAGGCTTTAAGAAGTAATGATTTATTTAGTAAGGGGAATACAGGAATGCTAAACCTCTTTTGCTTAATGTTTTTACTTGTAAAACACCGTGATGTGTCTCCTGATGTAACATAAAAGCCTAACCCAGGGATGATTTAGCTCAAAACTTATTTCCCAATAAGACAGTTATTTTTTCTCAAGTTATGTTGAAATTAAAAAATCCTTTCATTTCTTGTTTTGTTTTTGTTTTGTAGGTTAGCCAGTGGACCAGGCTATGTGAACTCACCATCCCTTTGGCTATTGAGAATTTTCTCAGAGAATCTTCTGACCAGCCCCCAACTATACCTGTAGAAATACTACAGCTAGAGAAAAAGCTCAGTGAGCCTGTTAGAGTGCATAATGATGATAAACTCCGCAGGCAGAAACTCAAGCAACAGAAGGCTGATGGAGTTGGGCCTCCCCTTACTAAGGGAAAGGCAAAGAGCAAGGTCCACATGCAGGAAACATCTGAAGAGTTGGACTCTTCATCTGAGAGTCTGGAACTGAAAGTGGCATTCTCAAAGCTCACAGTGCAGGAAGAACCAGCTACTACCAACAGAGAGCCTTCTCACATCAGAAAAGCAAAAGCCTCCGACCTTCCACCCCTGGAGCATGTGTTTGCAGAAGGGCTTTACTTCACTCTGGCAGATATCGTGCTCTTGCCCTGTATCCATCATTTCTTGGTAAGATTTCGTCTGGACTGTACACATTACTATGAGTTTCGGTCTATGAAATTGCCTAGGTTTGAATTTTTATTCTAATTCTTATTGCCAGTATGCTGTTGGGCAAGTTATTAATGTCTTTCTCCATTTTCTTATCTGTAAAATGGAGATAATAATAGTACCTATCTAAGAGGAAAAATGTAAGGAACAAATTAAAGTTTGTGTGAAGTATGGAGAACAGTGCTTGGCACATAGTAAGCTGTCAATCAATGTTAGTAATTATTATGACTTTTAATGTGAAATTGCTAAAATGTTAACAGTTGTTATTATTAACTTCAAGTTTCTATTGTGATTACTTTCTAATATTAGAAGGTCCAAGTCGGCTCTGTGGTACCATGGATAGTCCGTTGGACTTCTACTATTAGAGGATCCAGTTAAAAAAAAACAAAAACTAAAAATCTTATCAGCTAAATTTTATAATTATTAGTCACTTAAATTAATCTTATGTTAGGTATTATCAAATTGAAAATATTTTATTCTGACCTGTATGCTTCTCCGTTCTCTCTGAGATTAAAGTAGCTGGCTCTGTTATTATGTGCTGGGGGAGGATAGAAAGTTTTCTGAGTAGGAAGATCTCTCTCTCTCTCTGTCTCTGTCTTACACACACACACACACACACACACATGCACACACACATTCCCTCTGTGCAGGAAAAAAGAACAGGGTGAAAATAATACCAGAGTGAACATAGGAAGCTTAGCTCTCTGCAGCCTTCCAATTGGTTTTCAAGAGCTGCATTGCTTTTTGCTTTTGTTTTGTTTTTTTTTCTTGGAAGCATTTCCCCCTTTTCCCTACTAAGGAATCAGATATTAGATTTCATTCTCATTATATATCACCAACAATTCAGGTATCTTTTGACAGAAGAGACTTCTATTGAAAATCTATGTATTTGAAGACTTTGCTTCACAAGTAAATTAGGCAGTATTGATCAATTGTCATTTTCTTAAAGAACATTTCTCTTTTCCTCAAAATTGAACCAAACTTGGCAACCAAAACAATGTAAAAATAGGGAGATCCAGGAATTGTTTAGATGTTGATTGGTATTTTAAATGCCAAATGTCATAATTTAATAGAGTCCACAGAGTTGAGTGGGAGGAAGACATTGATTTTTAAATTTTTTCCTAGTCAAATGATTTCTAGATTCTCTTCTCCATGATCCCTCTCCTCTATTACCAAGTTCAGTCATTAGAGCAGTCATTTGATACATTATGAAGTACTTGGTCTTCTGTCTTCTTGACTTCTTTGGATAACTGTGTTTCCAGTTTCATCAGAATTGAATGAAAGTAGCATATCCATTCCTTTATTGAAGAAATTTATTAAAATGATGTGAATATGTAAACTAATTCTCGAAATATTTTCCTTCATTCCTTTGTATTTTTACTGGATTTTTTTTTTTTTTTTTGAGATGGAGTTCCTTGCTCTGTCACCCAGGCGCTGGAGTGCAGTAGGTATGTAATCTGGCTCGACTGCAACCTCTCTCGGCTTCCATGAGTTGAAGAGACATATCTCCTGCCTCAGCCTCCCCAAAGTGCTGGGATACAGGTGCTACGCCACCACTGCCCAGCTGAATTTTCTATTTTTTAATCCTGAGAGACAGGTTCACCTCTGTTGGCCAGGTGGTCTCGAACTCCTGACCATTGTGATCCGCCCACCTCATATTTCAGAATTCATCTTTCTCTTGATAAACGCCTTGATAACTTGTTAATATTTTTCCTAAATCATCGTTGGGTAGTAACAGAAAGTCATTTTAATTCATAGAGTGGTTATGTTGGCAAGCCCTTTTGCGCTTGAATTAACATACATGAGGTGAATGGAGTAAACCATCCAAATGATCAGAATCAGGATCAAGTTCATCATCAGTAATCAAGGTCAAGTTACCAAAGCATAAAAACTGAATCTAGGGATCAGAATATTTAAGTCCCACCCAGGAATAAGTCAATGGACATAGAAGTAAAGGAGTCAGTTTTGGCTAAGTCAAGGGTTGAATCCTAAGGGACAAAATGAGAAAAGAACTAGGGAAAAACCCCAGTTCTGATAAACAGAATACAAACCAAAGATGGACAAACCATAACAAGTAGAATGGATGCAGGTGTTTTTTTGGCTTGTTCTTGTTTTTCAATTCAGTCAGAACAAAACGATTGGAAGGCTAAGGCTATTATGTATAGCAAGGCTGCTGCCAAGCTCTTTTTTTCCAGAAAAATACTTTACTTACTTACAAAGTTAACCAGTGATGGCTCAGCACCTTTCTTAACGGAAAGGGGCCCTGACGATTCCCTCTCTCTCCCGAAAAGTCTTAGAAATACGTTTTAAACAGGAATAAAATTAAATGGTCACTCATGTTTCCCCCTCCTTACATCCATTTACTAGAATTTTCTGGTAATAGCGTATCAACGCATTATGGGAGAAGTAGCAATGAAATAGCTATACTAGGCTAAAATCCTACTGTTCCAATGACTAGAAATTGTATGTTATTTCAAGTGGTAACTAGTAAGCAAATACACTTGAAGAAGTATTTAAAATATTTATTGTACTACCTATAAGACAGAACAGGTTGCATTTTATAATTTTATAAAAATCTTCTTGTAATTTGAACACTTATGATTTGATTTTTCTACATTTTAACTTCTACATGCTTTGAATTGAGTTTAAATACACACACACACACACACACCACACACACACCACACCACACAACCCCCCAGCACCCCTTTATTAGCTTAGGTAAAATCATTCCTCTTTTAGAAATTGATTTTTTAGCAAAACTAAATACCTCTTCCTGTGTTCCCATTGGCATAAAATTGGGAACCTCACTTTTTGCTGGCATATTACAAAAATGGTAGCTGCTACTTATTTAGTGGTAAATTTGTATTTTCCGTGTCTTCTCCTATGCATTAGGTCCTCAAGAGCTTTTAGCTTTAACTCACTACTTCTAATTTATAAGTAAAAAATGGAGAGCTGGGATTATATTTCCATTTAGATAGGTGGTTTACTGTTTTTTCTCTGCTTACACTGCTCACCTAAACATCTGTGAGTATATTTTCAAAAAAAGAGCTATGACTAAGGAAATGATATAAAATAACAAAATATTTTATATAGTAAGTGATTGTAAAGGAATGCAAAGGAAGAAATATTTTGAATAGATGCAACGTCTTGCTTCTCTTTTTATTCAGACAATTTTTTTTGCCCTTTATTGACAATTAACTACAGAGTTACTAAAATATTATTTTTGCTTTGGTAGCTGTACTTTTTTTTAAAAAACCATTGTTTTAAAAATAAATTATCTTTTTTTTTTTTTTTTTTTCTTATCCTTAAAGAACTCTGTGGTATTTATAATGGTTTTGATCTTATGAGCCAGGTAACTATTTGGTAATCATTTCTTATGAAGAAATTTAATTTTCATTTCAAAGAGTTTTCATTAGCAACTTCCTTAAATATATCTTCATGAGTGTAATGAATGTGGTTCAGTACCTTCTGAGCTGTCTAGATATTAGTAGAGTGGCCTGGCATGTTGATTAAATGGAGTGGCCTGTCACACAGAGTAAACCTCCTCAATTTCTTTTAAATATGAATTATTGTTATTTAATTGCAACTTCATTTCAAAAGAAAGGAAAGATGCCGCGTACATCTAACAAATAAGAATAAGTCACTAAAAAGAAGAGTACAGGAAAGATGAAGAAAAGAGAACATTTATAGTGTGATGATCATGTCTAAAGATCTGTTCCCGTAGCACCTAATCTATTTCCAAGCAATTCAGAAATCTTGAGAGAATTAATAAACTTTTTGGCTCTCAGGGTGCCTTAGAGAGTATTTTTCAAACTTTTTTTTACTTTAACTCAGTAAATACAGATGGCCCTCCATATCCATGTGTTCTGCATTCATGTATTCAACCAACCGCAGATTTAAAATATTTGGAAAAAATTGCATCTCTACTGAACATGTACCGACTTTTTTCTTGTCCTGATCCCCTAAACAATACAGAATAACTATTTGCATAGTGTTTATATTGTATTAGGTATTAGAAGTAATCTAGGATTTAAAGTATAGGAGAGGATGTGTATAGGTTATATGCACCATTTTATATCAAGGACATGAGTATGAGTGTCCATGGATTTGGGTGTCTGATACAGGTCCTGAAACCAATCCTTCATGGATACTGAGGGACAACTGTAATACATTTTACAAGTTGAATAAGTGTAGAAATAAATGTGTATCTTTAAATAATATGTTAAAATAATATGTTAAATAATATGTTAAAAAATATATAAATAATTACAAAAAAACTTATGGGATGTGTACTCTGATATTTTCTATTTCATTTTTTAAAAACCTGCTATGTTGATTTCACAACCCCTAAATGAGTGATAAATAGCAGCTTGAAAAATATTGAGGGGATTATTCTCTGAATAAATGGATTCTTTATCATTTGTTTATTCACTCAACAAGGTATTATTTGCAAGGCAGTGTTTTAAGTGCTTCAGTATTCAAAGAGAGTTAGATACAGTCCTTGTTCTTATAGTCAATTACTTGTGCTCATTTAATCTTAAAGTCCACATAAAATACAGTATAATATATATGTATGAATTTTTTATTAATTTTCTGTCCTTTCTGTCTCATGCTCTGATATTACTGCTAGACATATTTGTAGAGATTTCCTGTGACTTGACCTTTTTATTTATCTATCTGTTCATAATCATAAGTCATAATGTGTTTGTGACATAGTGGTTTCTATGGAAACAACATTTATTGCCTCTCAAAGAAGCAAGAACACTCTAAATTTTAAAGAAAATAGAATTTGGTGGTGGTGCTAGGGAGAAAGCATCTGACCAAGGGAAAACAAAAATATATGAGTTTGTGTCAGGAGGAACAATTTCAAATTTTTCTAATTTGAAAAAATAAAAGTATTACTTTAAGTGCTGCTTTTGAAAAAAAGTCTTCCAAATAATGCTAGTTATCTTTTTTAGTTTTAAATATTTACAATTTTCTCTTTTATCTTTTTACTATTTTCTTTAGTAAAATGTTCTCCTTACCTCATTGTGTAATTTTTAAAAATACGGTTCTCAAAGATACTTCTTACATTATTGGTAAGGAATATCATTTAGATTTTGCCTAATAGTTCACATACAGAGAAGATAGCTTCACACACACAAAAATGGAACTTTAGATCACTATTAATAGTACAAGCTCTCCATTTTTACACTTCTGCAGTAAGCTGAAAAATTTCTTTTGAGACCCCTCAAAATACACCAATGATTATAGACTACAGATATTAAATTGTGATAATTTAAAAGCGTTACATTATATGTGTTGAGGAAGTTAATACTGATTTTAATTCTTTCCCCATTAACCACTTAAACTAATTTGTGTAAGTATATATTAAGGATTTTAGGTTTTTGATATAATGTTGTCCAATTAACTCTCTATATGCAATGTGTTAATAACTTATCAAGTATACTGAGGGTCAGGAACAGAGGAATGTGTTCATGGCCATGAATTATAGATGAAAGGGTTTCCAGATTGGAATGCAGTTGATTACAGAGGAGTTCTTAGAGAGAGTTAAAAACATACTACCAATGAAAGATGATAGACAGTTGAATATAAGGTGTAAAATTTTCCAAAATGATTTTCAATTGTACTATTCATAGACATTTGCAAATGCCATTATTATTTATGTTGATTCTTTTTGGAATTATTATATTCTTCTTTTTCTATTGATGGTTGTTTTCCATTGTATAGCTGTACGACAGTTTATCCATTCATCTACTGAAGGGCATCTTGGTTACTTCCAAGTTTTGGCAATTATGAATAAAGATGCTGTTAACATCTGTGTTCAGGTTTTTGTGTGGGCATACATTTTCAACTCATTTGAAGCATAATTATTGGATTGTATGGTAAGAGTATATTTACCTTTGTAAGGAACTGCTAAACTGTCTTTCAAAGTGGCTGTACTATTTTTCATTCCCACCAGCAATGAATGAGAGTTCCTGTTGTTCCACATGCTCACCATCATTTGGAGTTGTCAGTGTTTTGGATTTTTGCCATTCTGATAGGTGTGTGGTTGCATTTCCTTGTTTTAACTTGTAATTCTCTAATGATATATGATGATGAGCATTTTTTAATATACTTAGTTGCCATCTGTGTATCTTTTTTGGTTGTCTACTCAGATCTTTTGCTCATTTTAATTGTGTTCATTTTCTCATTGCTGAGTTGCTCCAATTTTTATGCTGTGAAATTAATCATAAAAACATATAAGACACATCACTAAAGAAGATATACAAATGGCAAATAATCACATGAAAAGTTGCTCAACATCATTAGTCATAGGGAAATGCAAATTGAAATCACAATGAGACACTGCTATATACCCACAAGAATGACTAAAATCAAACAGACTGATAATACCAAGTGTTGACAAGTTGTGGAGATACTGGAACCTCCATGCATTGCTAGTGGGAATTGTAAAATGGAATGGCAACCGTGGAGAAGATTTTAATTTCTTTAAAAGTTAAATATACAGTTACCATAAAACCTAGCAGTTTGACTCTTAGATTTCCAAAGAAATGAAAAACAGTTCCACATAAACACTGCTACATTATAATGTATAGCAACATTATTTATAATAGCCAACAACTGGGAAAATGCAAATATCTATCAACAAGTGAATGAGTAAGGAAAATACAGTATATCCACACAATGACTACTACTCTTAATAAAAAAACAAACAATTGGTCAATGTAACTATATGGATTAACTTCAAAAGCATAATACTAAGTGATAAAAGAAAACCACATTTTATGATTCCATTTGTATGAAAATCTGGAAAAGGCAAAACTATAAACATAGAAAGCCGATCAGTGGTTGTCTGCAACTGACTGTGGAAGCACAGATAGAGTGCAAATGGTCACAAGGGAAATTTCAGGGGTGACGTAAGTGTACTAAAACTAGGTGGTTGCATTACTGCATACATTTACTACAACTCATTGTTTGAACTATACATTTAGATGTGTGAATGTTGTGGTTTGTAAAGTTACCTCAACGCAGCTGTTACAAACAAACAAAAGATATATAATAATGTGTTTTATTATTTTCCTACCTAGGTAATTATCTGCAAGAAATTTTCTGAGAAGCTGGTAGAATTTCCATTGCTAGCCTCTTGGTACCAGAGGATTCAGGAAGTGCCAAGAGTAAAAACAGCAGCTTCTAAGTGTGGGATCCAATTTCTCCATTTACCAAAGTTGTTGACAGTCTCAACTGAGCAGCGTCCAAACTTAAGTGAAGTCCCAGGTGTAGAAGAGCACAGCGATCCTTTATTTATAGGAGGACCAAGACCAACCATGGCCAAGTTAATGGTACTTAATTGTGTTATTAACATTTTCTTTCAAAAATTCTATATGATAATGTTGCTGAGCATTCTGCTCAAACTTGTACATTTGTTGACATTTTTTTTTTTACAAATTTTATTTGTAGCTTTCTTACTTCACTCTTTGCCAGTTAATATTTCTGCTACTTTTTTCATTTATGTGAAGTATACTAAATTTAAAACTTTTAGTATTATGTATTTTTGGAGCCAAGTAAGTCACAATATATACTTTTAAAAAGCATTTTTCTCAAAACTTTTTTTTTTTTCTTTTAATATTCAGGATATTGACCAAGGTAGCATCATACCTGGTCAAGTGTACTATTTTAACATAATCTTTTTCTGTTGTAAAGTTTTGGTCTCAGCCTTTTTTAGTTTGGATAATGATTTCAAGTTAAAGAAATATAAAGATGAGACTGGACATAGTAGCTTACACCTGTGATGCCAGCACTTTGAGAGGCTGAGGCAGGCCTATCACTTGAGGTCAGGAGTTCGAGACCAGTCTGGGCAACATGGCAAAACCCTGTCTCTACTAAAATTACAAAAATTAGCTGCGTGTGGTGGCATGTGCCTATCGTCCCAGCTATTCAGGAGGCTGAGGCACCAGAATAGCTTGAACTTGGGAGGGTGGAGGTTACAGTGAGCCGAGATTGTGCCACTGTACTCCAGCCTGGGCGACAAAGTGAGACTCTTACCTCGGGAAAAAAAAAAAAGAAATATAAAGATTAATATCTCAATTTACTTTCCAAGGTTTTATTTAAATTTGTAATTTTGGAATTCTTCTAATTTTATTTTTACTTTAATCTTTGATTTTAATGTTTTTGTTATATAACAAGCCTGGGCGACAGAGTTAGACCCTGTTTCAAAAACAGAAAAAGCATATGCTTTATTTTTTTCTCACTGGGGCATAGTTTGTTTTCAGTAGTACTAATTGTAAAGTTTTCAACAATGGGCTTTCCTTTCCCTAACATTTGAAATGATCTGCAAAAATATTTTTGCTTTTAATAGGTGATGTGAAGATTTATTTGAATAGAAAATTCATGAAGTAATTTAAGTTATCCATCGAGTTGCACTGGAAAAATATTTTATTTCCCTATTTGGGTTAGGAAGTAATTGAGTTCTGTAGTTAACAGAGTTTACTGATTTAGAAATGGACAGGAAGACTTTGGTAAGGATACCAATTCCTTAACTCTTCATCTAAGCTCTGTGGCCTATTGATTAAGTAATGAAACATGATTATATAGTTGATTTTAGAAGTTATTGAGGCATGTCTAGATTTTGATGTGTCTTGATTATATGACTACACTGCCAAGGGACCTCTGGTTCACCTCTTGAGTGGATATGCAACTTCTTTTGGAAATGATGAAATGATGAAAATATCTTAAAATAGATAGTGGCAATGGTTGAATTGTGAATATTCTAAAAACCACTGAATTGGATGCTTTAAAAGGAGAAATTGTGTGGTATTATATATAAATTATATCTCAATATAGTTGTGTTTTTTAAAAGACCCTAAGGTAAGAATGAGTTTCGTGAAATGAGAAATAGCAAGAAAGTCAGTGTGGCTAGACTGAAGGAGATAGAAGAGAGGTAGATGATGTCAGAGAGATGTGTTTATCTTTCTGGAGGCAAATGAGTGCACAGGGCTTGTAGACCAATAACCATATCTCTAGCCCTAATGAAAGATTCTTTGTACTATTTCCTTTGGGATGCAAATTCAGCTAGTTTTTGTAATGGAAAGTAATCTCATAAACTGATACAAAGCATTTAATGCTGGAATCTCAGAGATTTTTTATTTGAATAGGTTATTCCTAAAGATAAAAGTAACTGAGCCATGGAGATAGCTAAACATAGATATAGATGTAGATGTAGATATAGATATAGATATAGATATACACTGTGGACTATGGACCTGGAATGTGATTGGAAGGGATCTGTGAATCCATGTGTATGCCATGCCACTGTACATAGATCAAATAAACAAATGTACAGCTTCTAAGACAGAGAAGGATCCTGCAATTTTTTTAATATATTGAGAAGTGGTTCTAATTCTTGAAAATATTGGGAACTATTTGGTTAAACCAGAGAAATTTTTCTCTAGTGACATTAAAGACGCTTCTAAAAGACTAGTATGAGTGGTGTTTTGGGGTATGTGTTAAAGTGGTAGCTTTTAGGCTGTGGTGGTTTTCATATATGTAAATGGAGACCTTGATGGACATATGCAGAGTTCTTTATTATTTCTATGTGGATTGTTTTTGATAACATTTTCATCTTCAGCTGAACTTTCTCTTTGATATCCAATATATTTCTAGGTAGCTTATAACTTCTATGGATCTTCTAGTAATAATTTTAAAATAGCATTACTTTTTATTATCTCAATATAAAAAAATAGGATAGTGTGATGTCAAAATACTCAACACACTGTATTTTTATTTAATTAAAATATGTATTTTAGGGAATAGCTGATGATTATTACCATTTATCCTCCTCCTTACCAATATAGAAATATAATTTTTAGCCTTCAAGAATATAATAAGACTATATTAATTCCTTAATTTAGAAAAAGGCTGTTTCCTTTTCTAGGAAAAGGGCATTGAAGTGATGTTTTCTCCCCACCCTTGCCCTACTTGGACTGTTGATTGGAATGTTCTCCCTGCAGCAGTCAGCCCAAAGGAAGGTGAGTTTTCTTTTCTCTTTAAGTTTTATTCATAATTTGGATACTGTCTTCAGATCTGTCTAATACTGTAAATCTCCCTTTGGCTTTATCTAACATTCTGATTACACTATCAGTTGAGTTTTCATTTTATTTTTATTATGAAAATTATATATACACACGCACCACTTAGATTTAATATTTCTCACATTTTTCTACATTTGTTTTATTTGTTACTGTTTTTTCTTTGCTGACATATTTTGAAAAAAAAAATTCCAGGTAACATGTCATACGTTAGGGCTCATATTTTAAAAATACTGGTATCTTAAATAATCACAATGCCATTATCATACCTAATAAAAATTAACAAACTTTAATGATCATCTAATGCCCAATTTATAATCCATTTTCTTCAATTGTTTAAAATATTGTTGAGAAATATTGTTTTATTGTTTGGTTTTAAGTTGAGTGATTATATTTTTCTTTGCTGGAGATTATATTTGGTTTGTTTTTGTTTCTTCTTTATAATTTTTCAAACATAGTTATCTTATATTTTATATTTGTTATTTCTAATAGATAATCGTTATTTTATATTTTGTACTTGTTATTTCTAATACTTAATGTTCATAGAGGTATAATTCTGCTGTTTGTTTTTTCTGTTGACTTTATTTCTGGTACCTTATTTTCCTGTGAGTTTTGTAATTTTAGACTGTGAATTCATTTGGGGTTACCTCAATCTGTGGTGTCTTGTGGGACTTGGATTAAGGATAAATTCCCACAGAAAGGGATTATATTTGCTTATACGTACTACGACTTAAGACCACTTAGCGTTGGTTTTTCAGCTTCAAATTTCTTTTAAAAATGTTTAAATTTAATTATGTTTATTATTTTTTCATTGACACATAATTGTGCATATTTATGGGGAACAATGTGGTATTTTGATACATGTATGCAATGCGTAATGATCAAATTAGTATAATTAGCATATTCATCATCTCAGACATTTATCATTTCTTTGTGTTAGGAACAGTTGAAATCTGCTCTTCCAACTATTTGAACTGTTATTAATTATAGTCACCAAACAGTGCTGTAGAACCCAGGAACTTATTTTTCTTATCTAGCTGTAATTTTATATCCATTAACCAACATCTGTCCTTTCCAGGCTCTAGTAACCACTATTTTACCTCTAATTCTTTAAGACCAACTTTTTTTACCTTCCAAATATAAGTGAGAACATGTGATATTTGTCTTTCTGTGCCTGGTTTATTTTATTTAGCATAATGTCCTCTAAGCTCATCCATGTTGCTGTGAATGACAAGATTTATTTCATTTTTATGACTGGATAGTACTCCATCATATATATGTACGACATTTTCTTTATCTCTTCTTCTGTTGATGGACACTTAGGTTGATTCCATATCTTGGCTATTGTGAATAGTGCTGCAATAAACATGTAAATGTAGATATCTCTTCACTATACTGATTTCTTTTCTTTTGGATATATATCCAGCAGTGGAATTGCTAGATCCTATAATAGTTCTAATTTCATTTTTGAGAAAAGTCCATACTGTGTTTCATAATGGCTGTACTAGTTTATATTCCTACCAACAGTATATAAGAGTTTCCCTTCCTTTGCATCCTCACCATGTTATTTTTTGACTTTTTAATAATAGACATTCTAACTGGGATGAGAAGATATTGAGGGTTTGATTTGCATTTTCCTGATGACTACTTATTTATTTTTGCTATTTAGTTGTTTGAATTCCCTGTGTATTCAGGATATTAATCTTTTGTTGGATGAATAGTTTGCAAATATTTTTTCTCTTTCTGCTGATTGTCTCTTCACTTAGTTGATTGTTTCCTTTGCTTATATAGGTTTTTAGTTTAATATAATTCTATTTGTCTATTTTTGCTTTTGTTGTCTATGCTTTTATGGTCTTATTCATAAAAACTTGCCCAGTCCAATGTCTAGAAGCATTCTCCTTATATTTTCTTCTAGTAGTTTCATAGTTTTGGGTCTTACATTTAAGTCTTTAATCCATTTTGAGTGGATTTTGGTATATGATGAAAGATAAGGTCTACTTTTATTCTTCTACATATGGATATCCAGTTTTTCTAGTACCATTTATTGAAAAGACTGTCCTTTCCCCAGTGAATGTCCTTGACACCTCTGTAAAACATGACTTGGCTATAAATGAGTAGAGATACACTTTGGATATTTGTCCTCTGTAAATCTCAAGTTGAAATTTGAACCCAAATGTTGAAAGTGGGATCTCAAGGCAGGTGTTTGGTTCATGGGAGCAGATTCCTTATGATTGGCTTTGTGACATCCTCATGGTAATGTGTGAGTTCTCATTCTTAGTTCCCATGATAACTGGTTGTTGAAAAAAGCCTGGTATCTCCTCTACTCTCTCTTTCTCACTCCCCTTTGCTATGTGATGCCTGCTCCCCTTTGCCTTCTGCCATGAGTGGAAGCTTCCTAAGACCCTCATCAGAATCAGATGCTGACCCTGTGCTTCTTATACAGCCTGCAGAACTGTGACCTAAATAAACCTCTTTTCTTTATAAATTACTCAGCCCCAGATATTCCTTTATAGCAATATACAGATGGACAAAGACAAGTGGATTCATTTCTGGTTCTCTATTCTGTTCCCGTGGTCTATGTGTCTGTTTTTAATGCCAGTACCACAGTATTTTGGTTATTATAACTTTGCAGTATATTTGAAAATTAGGTTGTATGAGGCCTTCAGCTTTGTTCCTTTTGCTCAGGATCACTTTGGCTATTCAGACTCTTCTTTGGTTATACATGAATTTTAGGATTTTTTTTCTATTTTTGTGAGGATTGTCATTAATATTTTCATAGAGATTATACTGAATCTGTAGATCACTTTTGGTACTATGATCATTTTTATAATGCATGAACATGGATGTCTTTTTTTTGTGTATCCTCTTCAATTTCTTTTATCAGTGTTTTATAGTTTTTCTCTAAAAGTCTTTCACTTCTTTAAATTCGTTGTTTTTTTTTTTCTCTCGTTTGTCTTGTTTGTTGTTCCTGTATACAGATGCTACAGAATTTTATATGTTGATTTTGTATCCTGCAGTTTGGCTGAGATTCTTTATCAGTTCTAAGTGTTTCTTGGTAGAGCTTTTTGGTAGGTTTTTCTATATATAAGATTGTGTCATCTGCAAATAGGGACAATTTGACTTCTTCCTTGCCAATTTGGATGCCCTTTATTTCTCATGCCTAATTGTTCTGGCTAGGACTTAGTAGGATTCAGTATGGTGAATAAGAGTGGTGAGAATGGGCATCCTTGTCTTGTTCCAATTCTTAGAAGAAAAGCTTTCAGTTTTCCCCATTCAGTATGATGTTAGCTATGGGTTTGACATATGACCTTTATTATGTTGAGGCATGTTCCTTTTATACCCAGTTTGTTGAGAGTTTTTATTACAAAGGATGTTGAATTTTATCAACTGCATTTGGTGTATCTATTGAGATAATCACATAAGTTTTGTCCCTCATTCTGTTGATATAATGTATCTGATTTATTGATTTGCATATGTTGAATTATCCTTGTATTCCTGGGATAAATTCCACTTGATCATGGTAATGAGTGTTGTAGTGTGCTGTTGGATTTTCTGTTTGCTAGTATTTTGTTGAGGATTTTTGCATCACTCCTTATCAGGGATATTGACCTATAGTTTTCTTTTTCTGTTGTATAATTTTCTCTTTTTCTGTTGTATTCTTGTCTAGTTTTTGTATCATGGTAGCGCTAGCCTCATAGAATGAGTTTTGAGTAATTCCCTCCTCTTCAGTTTTCTGGAAGAGTTTGAGAAGAACTGGTATTAGATCTTCTTTGAATGTTTGGTATAATTCAGCTGTGAAGTCATCAAGTCCTAAGCTTTTCTTTGATGGGAGACTTTTTATTACTAATTCCATCTTGTTACTCATAATCGGTCTATTTCTAGGAGGTAGGACACTGCTTCAGTGTAGGCACTGGGAAGACATGACTGCAGTTGGTGGCCAAGGTACTGTTTTTCCAAGAGACTGTGTACTTTTTCAGCTCACACACAGAGGGGCATGACTGCTCTTGTTGGTCAAAGCCCCATTTACCTGGGATGTCTTGTGTTGCTTCAGTTCTGGTCCAGAGAGGCACGGTGTAGCAAAGACTGGGATAGATTTTTAGAACAGCTCTTTCAGGCCATCATTTTTCTTAGAGGCAGTGTGCAGCTTCGGCTCAGTCCCCTAAGAGCAGGTGCATACATGACTGAGGGATGGAACGATTCTGCCTGAACACCATTTCTCCAGGAATGAGTGCGCAGCTTCAGCTCTAGCTGTGAGTGGGGACTAGGAGGAGTGCATGAAGCAGCTCCACTACTGCTTGAGCCCACAGGGAGTGGTATAAGAGCTGGTCACAGCTAGGCTCGGGGATGTCAGGGCACTGGGCAAGAGTGGTTTGGCAGCAGCTTAGCCTCAGAGATGAAGGGATATTGTGGGTACTCGCGTCTGAGCAACACTCCAACAGTAGTTCCAGTTTGAAGATGGCATTGTGCAGTAGCCACATAGGCCCCAGGGTGCAAGGCATAGTGTCAGCTCCTTCTCTGTGGGAAGACGGCTATGTGGACTATAGGCAGCTCCCTCAGCTGGACTTCAGTACACCGATCAACACTTTGAACAACTATAGTCCACACTACTGGAGTGAGGACTATAGTTTTGCTTGCCTTTTGCTAGCCTTTCCCCATGGGGAGAAGTTCCTCCTAATTCCCATCTGATCCCTGCTGGGGAATGGGGTGGTAGAGACCAGGTGTTTCCTTCAGTTCTCTGTATGGCTATCCTGAGTTCCTGTGTTCGCCTGCGTTTCTGTTACTTCTTTGATGTACTCCAGCACTCTCCTTTAGTCATTTTCATTGTGATGTAGTTATTTATTAGTTGTTTAGGCTGTTTTTGTGGTGGGGGTATGGGAGGCTCGGGCATATGGAGTATTAGGGGCTTCTTAAGCACAGATTCTTTAAACATTTTTTCATCT